TATTATCCTAAAGTTTAAAAAAAAACATCCTTCTGTTTAACAATTTAATGAAATGATAGAAGGAAAACCCCAAATGTGAAAAAAAAAACGACCACAGAATATCAATAACTGGGCATCGCTGATTACATAAAGCGTCTCGCCATTTAGACACCAGTTACTCCGCTTTTTCTCTAAAATTCATACATTTTAATGCGTCGGAACAATAAACTACAGAGAAAACGTAACAGCCCAGTGCTCTCACTGGAAATTTTAATCGCCTTTCTGTGATTTTAATCCTAGGCTAAAATTATGAGAATAAATCTGTATGTGTAAATAAATGCAGGTGATTTAAAGCCTTCGGTATTTCCATGCCGAAATTACTCACTTACAAAAATCGTAATCGAGCACAGAGAACGAGAAATTCATCAGTGCAGTCCCCGAATCCAGCACTTCTAGGGGCCAAGTACTCCTTACTGCACAGGTGGGCAACCGGCGGCTCGCGGAGGCAATCGGAATGTGGTGCCTAACTAGACGAAGAGAGCTGAGGGAGCGGGGAGGGAAGGGTTGTATTCCGCCACGTCACTGCATTTTCATGAAAATAAATAGATAACTGCGCGCACCAGGGCAGCCCTTTTCCCCGACACGTAAGAAAAGACCAGAACACAGGCACATAAGTTGCACGTGTTAAACTGTAAAGCAACAACCACTCATACTGTTAACTATCTGACTGCATCAAATGTAGCGTAAAAACGCACGGTCGCATGAGCAAGATTGATGCATTGCTATCTGGGTTTTATTAAAAAGTAGCCTGCGGGCTTAAGTATGTAAATCAGGCCCGTGTGTCGCCAAAAGTTATCTGTGCCTACTTTACTGAGAAGAGTGGACTGAAAGCGAAACTCTACGGGGTAAGTGGACTGTTTAAAGCGCTCTTTACAGAAACACAAAGCAACTTACTTCCGTCTGGCTGCAATTGTTCTTAGCAGACGATTGCCAGAAATAAACGTTACAGCGCCTATCATTGACAAATACTTCAGTGTTTCAAACATATTCAATCGTAGCCAGAAAACGAAGTATAATCCAAATATTCCTTCAAAAAAGGCAATACTGCTGAGGTGAAACTCTTGCGTTCTAATACAAGTTCAGTTGCCTTTGCACCCAGAGTCCAGCATTTTTGCCCCATTTTGCTCCACCACCTTATGGCACCTCCCTTTTATAAGCATAGATTTGCCACGGAAAAATATAAGCAGGATATTAAATATTTAAGCGAAGAATCAAATAAGCCGAAAAACCGAGAAAGCGATACATCACTTGCTCTATTTTAGTAGAAAGAAGAACGAAAGCAGGGGTACGAAAAAAAAATCACCACCAGCAGGCAGGCAACAAATTGATGCATTCCACGCACTGCTCCACGGAAGGTCGTCAATGGCATAAACGTCAGTTTATCAGCAATTAAAGCACGCTTTATACGTAAATCGGGAAAAGCAGCAGAAAATCCCCCACAAGACAAGAACATTTGATAAAAAAATTTGAAGAAAAAATTTCGGAAGCCAAACCTGCTAAGCCGCAATGGAAAAGCAAAACGAAGGGTGACGCTGGCAAATTTCCAAAATTAAT